ATTAGATGCTGAAAAAGCCTTTGACAAAATCCAACACCCCTTCATGATAAAGGTCTTAGAGAGATCAGGAATACAAGGAACATTCCTAAACATAAAAAAGGCAATTTACAGCAAGCCAACAGCCACCATCAAATTAAACAGAGAAACTCAAAGCGATTCCACTAAAATCAGGAACAAGACAAGGCTGTCCACTCTCCTCATATTAATTCAATATAGTACTTGAAGTTCTAGCTAGAGCAATAAGACAACAAAAGGAGATCAAAGGGATACAAATTGGAAAGGAAGAAGTCAAACTTTCACTATTTGCAGATGTTATGATAGTATATGTAAGTGACCCCAAAAATTCTACCAGGGAACTCCTACAGCTGATAAACTCCTTCAGTAAAGTGGCAGGATACAAGATCAACTCAAAAAAATCAGTAGCTCTCCTATACACAAATGATAAAAAGTCAGAGAAGCACCACCCTTTACAATAGCCACAAATAATATAAAATACCTTGGGATAACACTAAACAAGTGAAGGACCTTTTTGATAAGAACTTTAAATCTCTAAAGAAAGAAATTGAAGACGATATCAGAAAATGGAAGGATCTCCCATGCTCATGGATAGGTAGGATTAATATAGTAAAAATGGCAATCTTACCAAAAGCAATCTACAGATTCAATGCAATCCCCATCAAAATACCAACACAATTCTTCACAGACTTGGAAAGAAAAATACTCAACTTCATATGGAAAAACAAAAGACCCAGGATAGCCAAAGGAATCCTGTATAATAAAGCAACCTCTGGAGGCATCACCATCCCTGACCTCAAACTCTACTATAGAGCTATAGTAATAAAAACAGCTTGGTACTCACATAAAAACTGACATACAGACTAATGGAATCGAATTGAAGACCCACGCACATATGAATACCTGATTTTTGACAAAGAAGCCAAAACTATACAATGGAAAAAAGAAAGTATCTTCAACAAATGGTGCTGGCATAACTGGATGTCAATAAGTAAAAGATTGCAAATAGATCCATATCTGTCACCATGCCCAAAACTTAAGTCCAAGTGGATCAAAGACCTCAACATGAATCCAGTTACACTAAACTTAATAGAAGAGAAAGTAGGAAGTACCCTCAAACGTGTTGGCACAGGAGACCACTTCCTGAATATAACACCAGCAGCACAACAATTAATAAATGGGACCTCTTGAAACTGAGAAGCTTTTGTAGGGAAAAAGACATGGTCAATAAGACAAAAAGACAGCCTACAGAATGGGAAAAGACCTTCACCAACCCCACGTCTGACAGAGGATTGATCTCCAAAGTATATAAAGAACTCAAGAAACTAGACATCAAAATATTGAACAATCCAATTAAAAAATGGGCTAAAGAGCTAAACAGAGAATTCTCAAAGAATCACAAATGGCTGAAAGACATTTAAAGAAATGCTCAACATCCTTAATCATCAGAGAAATGCAAATCAAAATGACTCTGAGAAACCATCTTACACCTGTCAGAATGACTATGATAAAAAACACTAATGACAGTCTATGTTGGAGAGGATGCGAAGCAAAGGGAACACTCCTCCACTGTTTGTGGGAATGCAAACTTGTACAACCACTGTGGAAATCAGTATGGTGGTTTCTCAGAAAATTGGGAATCGATCTACCTCAAGACCCAGCTATACCACTCTTGGGCATATACCCAAGGAATGCTCAATCATACCACAAAGATACATGCTCAACTATGTTCATAGTAGTACTATTTGTAATAGTCAGAACCTGGAAACAACCTAGATGCCCGTCAACTGAAGAATGGATTAAGAAAATGTGGTACATATACACAATGGAGTACTACTCAGCAGAGAAAAACAATGACAGCATGAAATTTGCAGGCAAATGGATGGAACTAGAAAATATCATCCTGAGTGAGGTGACCCAAACCCAGGACAAACATGGTATGTACTCACTCATAAGTGGATACTAGATATAAAGCAAAGGACAATCAGACTGCAACCCACAGAACCAGGAAGACTATATAGCAGGGGGGACCCTAGGATGACTGTGGTTTATAATAAGTTTTGGTTTTACTCAATTACTGGGCAAGTCTCAATGAAACATTTCACTATTAGGATAAGAATTTATACTGTATCAAGCTGATAATAGAAAATAATAAAAATGAAAAAAATTTATAAGCCATGACATTTCCCTACAATGAGACAATGTTTAGACATAAAAGTGAAGTGATGATACACACTGGGACATGGATAAACTTTGATAACATTATAGAAAGCGAGAGAAACAGATTGACCAAATTGTGCATTGTGATTCCATGTACAGTAACTGTCGAGAACAGGCAGATCCGAAGAGAGTGGATTACAGTTATCAGGCCTGGGGAGAGAGGGGAGAGGGAATGGGTGCTTATAGGAAGATCCCTTTTTGGGAAGATGGCGATATTCTACAACTACAGAGAGGTGATTGTACACTATCATGAATGTACAAAATGTTACTGTTTATGTTTAAAATGCTATGTTATTTTTGTATTTAAAAATAAATTTTATCTTATTAATAAAAAAGAAAAAAATGCACCATGTTAAAAAGAACAGCATATTCTAAATGGTCCAGAGAGGAAACTCAAAAAGGTCTGGGTGTCTGCCAGTGTCCAAACCTTGGTTTTTATCTTAGATTTCTTCAGTCTGAACCTCCAGCTTTCCATCAAATACTGAGCAATTTTCCCCAGTTCCCATAGAGTTGTCTGCTCCTGGGTTTCCACTCCGGTACAAATCTCTGTATTTGCCTCTCCCTCCAACTTCAGGGATGATTCTCTATTTGCCTCTCCCTCCACTTCAGGGATGCTGATGTTCCCTCTGACCTTGTTGCATCTACTGCTCTGGGAAGAATTGCTGTCCAGTTTATTCAGCTTTGTACATGCTTTAAAGCAGGACTGAAAAGGCTCTCATTTTTCTAATTCTGTAAGCTTTTTATATGTTAGGAACATTAGTGCCTTTTTCATGTGAATTAAACATGTTTCCTGGTCCATCATTTTGTTTTAATTTGTATTCTATAAATGTAGTCAAATTTATCAGTCTTTCCTTTAATGCTTGTATATTTTGAACCACTTTCTCCTCCCTTCTCCAGCACTGGGGAAGTCCAAGGCTTTATTTTAAAACTTGTGTGAGGGTTTGTGGGAATGGTGCTTTGCTAATGCTCAAAGCCCACGTTTTCCTTGCTGGTGTAATGAGCCAATTGGCTGGCTGTCGATCTGATTAGTCAGGTCTGTATTCAGTTAACATGTTATGACTAATCCCAGGTAAAACGTTGAAGTCTGTGCTTCTGCTCTCCATCTCTCCCTCTGCCTATAGTTTTTTGTAACCACAATCTTGTATCCTCAGAAGCCCTATCCAGTGTTCCAGCAAGAGCCTCAATGCACTGCTATCACTCAGCAGTTAAATTACAGGATTGTGTGTGTGATGTTTTATCACTTCCTCCTCATATGATCTCAGGCAAATTACTCAATCCTTCTAAGATAACATCTCCATCACAGCGTCATTTTATAAGGTAGCATAACGTAGGGAACTTGCCAGCATAGGACTTGGTATATTGTCAGTGCTCAATAAATTAGTCTATATTAAAGGGAAGAATCCTTAATCCCCAAGTGATAATAATGTATGCAAATGGAAGTGATTAATGCAGAAACAATTCTACTGGAAGTGAAACTGTGCTGTATGTTGTGAGCACACACACACACACAGGGCAAACTTTGCTAAGCAATGTGGATATTCTAGGTATGCCAACCAAATACAAATTATCAGTGAATACTATGAAAACTCAAAGCAGAGGGCATTTAGAGTTGGCTTTAAAAAAAAAAAAAATGTGTGGGAATCAAGCTGAACACCTGTCCTGAAAATACTGGTTTCTAGGCAATGCTCTGCTCTCAATGCTCTACTAGCCATCAAGTTAAAATTGGTGCCCTATCCTACCACAGGGTCCTAGCTGAGAGCTCCAGCAGTCAGAAGAGTGGTGTGCCCCTACCCCCATCCCTCCATCAGTCCTAAGCAGGTCCTCTAGCTTAGTCTCCAGCTCAGCACTGTCTGCCCCAAGGGATTGGGCTGCCAGGTAGGAATCTAAAACCATAAATCCCTTTACACTGAAAAAAAAAATTTTAACTTGATGGCTAGTAGAGAACATTGGTTTCATATGGCGTTGAGAAGCGTGACAGAGAAAGTTCTAGAGGGGTGACAACGTTCTGAATTTTGATGGGGTTTTGGAGCATGGTAAGGCACTTCTTAAAAAAAACCATGAAGTTCACCTAAAATAGGTGCATTTCATTGTATATAAATTTTACACTAAACCTTGAAAATTCCAATGAATACTCATGTTGGAATATCAAGAAAAATATGCTGTTTGAAGTGGATCCAGATGGAATGGCTGTGATGGATAAATGGAAAGTTAGATGCTAATACAAAATTCAGGTGGTGAATACAGGTACCTATAAAATTCAACATTAGTTATCATAAATGGACAGCAATCATGACATCTAGGCAGGAATGCCTTCTAGTGTTTCTGCTGCTTACCTGGGCCACTGCTCTTGTCCTCTAGCCAAACATTCAGCCACAAGAAGTCCCTCCTCTACTACACTTTCCTAGGCAGGTCCAGGAGCCTCTTAGGCAAAGGAGAATGAAGCATGGTCCATTTGACCAGTGGGTCAGATCTTTGAGATCAAAGCCAAACCGTATCTATGTGCTGTCACAGCAGATCAGTAACATAAGTGCTTTCCTATACGAGGGAAATGTGCAAAAACTTGGAACTAAAGGTTTTTAATTGGAGCTGAGAACAGTGTTTCATACTTGGGAGATGCAGGCAGGAAGAGCAAGAGCTCCAAGACAGTCTGGGTTGCATGGGACCCACTCCAATTTTTTAAAATTCATATAAATTTCTTAATATTCAGTTGAATTTTTCTGAATTCTTCCCAAATGGTATAGAGGAATGATAGCATTTGCCTTACATCCAGTGGCCATGAAGGGTTTAATATTTGTTGAGTCTTGGATATGGAGATGCTTTGTATACACTATCTTAGATTCTTCAAATAGGGCTACACAGCTCCAATGTCATGTCATGTTGTTGATAAATAGCAGATACAGGACTCAAATCAAGATCTCTTCATCCCCAAACCATGTTTTCCCTTGACATTCTGACATCTGTTTTGATATGCAAAGTTCATATAACTGCAAGAATAGCGCCAGTCACTTCGCATAAAGAAGCACTGGATAACAGAATAGTTCCTAGGAGCAATGTCATGCTCTACTTCGTTTTCACCAAACCCATCTTTTGTAACAGTTGTCACTATTCCTGACAAATACAGTCTGACTTGCCAGTACAGGCTGGAGAGAAGACTAACTGGTGAAAAGTACTTGCTGCTCTTGGAGAAAGCCTGAGTTCAGTTCTCAGCACCCAAATGGCAGCTACCAACCATCTCTAACTCTAGTTCTGACGCCCTCTTCTATTGTCCACAGGCAAGAGGCACACATATGGTGCACATATAAACATACAGGCAAAAGACAATCATACAAAATCTCGAAAAACGGCCTTGGCAGTCCTGTGTCTTCTACATCTCTTGGGGCAGTTCAATATTTGATGTGCTATTAAGGTAATTTCTCCATTGCCTGTTTTACTATGACCACCTCTCAATGTCATGTATTTCCTTCATAAATCAGATAAAAATCATGCTATGGTATAAGGGACCCTCTTCTCCACCTTAAGCTAAAGCAGATTCGTCCACAGAAACCGCACAGTAATTACCAGCAGGTGGCTCTCATGCTGACCATTTTTGTTCAAGTATCCAGGCTGGTCAGAAGTCTTCCTTAGGGTTGAACATTTCAGACTCCTGTGGGAATTGTGCTGGAGATGGGATCGAGATCTGAAGGTGGAGACAGTGTGCCCTGTGCATTCTGTGATACCACTGCCTCCAGGCCTACTTTAAACTTTTTTCATATTGAGTTGAATGACAGGAGTACCAGATGCCATATCCACTTCCTGAGCTAAGCCCAAAACGTACTTTCGAGTTTTAACCTAATGGTCGGGTGGAAAAGCTGGTTTTAACTGGATATATAGGTCAGTGAGCCCACGCTACTCCTCTGTAAAATTCTGCCCTTAGGTTGGACGTCTCTAGGCTAACCTGGGCCGCAGTAAAACCTCTTCTCAGCAGAGATCTGATCTCAGCTTTGGCGTAATTTGATTCTATTTGAACCTAATTTATTTATTTATTTATTTTGGTTTTTTTTCGAGACAGGGTTTCGCTGTGTAGCTTTGCGCCTTTCCTGGAACTTACTCTGTAACCCAGGCTGGCCTTGAACTCACAGAGTTCCACCTGCCTCTGCCTCCCAAGTGCTGGGATTAAAGGCGTGCGCCACCACCACCCGGCTTTGAACCTAATTTAATTTTCTAGCATTTCTATGTAGAGGGCCCAGTTATCTCTATTCAGAAACACTTGCTTCAGCCAGTAATTCTGTACTCTTGAGAAACACCCTTCTAAATATTTTCCCTTAATACAATTTCTGTGTTCTAGATTTATAGAAAAGGAACCAAGAAAGCATACACAATTCCAAAAATCAAGCTATCTCACTGTGAAAGGGAGATGGCAAGAACAAGAGATCTCCAAAGTGTTTGATGCAGGTCTTTCTGGCCTAAGTTTCCTTCCAGGTCAGAGGGGCAATCCATACTTCTTTCTGAAAAGCTTCATGTATGTTATCGAAAACTAGACTTTTGCTGAACATGTATTCAAGGTTACTCCATAGTCAAGTCTGTGAACAAGAAAGCTAGCCTGGCTTGAATCCAAATGGGAATTTTGAATACAATGATTTCTAATTTAGCTGGAAATGGATGGTAAAGCATGCAGTAGCCCTCCAATGTGCGTCAATACGTCTGTGGATCTAACAATAGGTCCGCAATGAACTGTGGCTTCGCTCTCAATGCTCAGGGAACACCTTAACACTTTGGATTACATATCTTGACTCTTCAAATGGCTTAAACACCTACTGGTTGAAATGTTAAATGTTATTACACTGAACACCTCATAATGGAAGAAAAATTTCTTGGCAGTATTTTCAGGTCTAATGTTAGTGTGGAAAAATGCTTATTAGTAACTTAATGGACTTGATTTTGTGTCTTTGGTCTTCGTTCATTCAGAAACCCGAAATAATTTGGCTATAGCCTTCTAGCATATTTCCAATAAAGCAAAACTTTGATGCATCTAAAGCACTTCAATACACCTAGCAAACAATTTTCTAGCTTCTCCCTTGGGGTGTCATACGTCAGTGATGGTGCTACTTTCAAAGGTCACAATTCGAAGTCAGAAGCATACCTGAGTGTTAATCATTAAAACTACTTTGTGAACTGTGGGGCTGTTAATCACTCCCACTTAAAATCAACATCTAGAGCCTCAGCACCAAGGATCTCACTAGCCAATCTCTCTGCCCCAAACCTCCTCATCCCATCCCTGTACTAGAGAATGATTGGAACCATATGGTCCTTGTCTACTAAAAATGATCAGACTTTCAGCAGGTGAGAGACAGGGAAGTAAAAACTGGGCATTAAACAAACAGGAAGGCGAGGGAGCTCAGAGGGGTTAGAGCTTGACACACGTCTGTTTGGGAACATGTTCTGTCGCTTCCAATGCCTCTCAGTCATCACTAGAGTCGAGTCACACACAGCCTAAAATGGCTTCAAGCAAACAGCCATTAAGGTAATGATACCCAAGAAGGGAAGCATTTCAGCAACTGTACTGACAGGTCAGATCCCTCCGCAAATGGAAACTAGCAACTGTGATGCTCCTTTGGACTACTGCACTAGACTATTCTGTATATAATCTCAATATATAATCTCTGTATATAATTTAAAAATATAAAGGGCTAGTTAACCTGCAAACTATGCTTTCAAACTAATCACTCTTCAAGTTTTAACACCAAGTTACTAAGACTATGGAGGAAAAGAGTTGGTACAGTATAGGAAAACCTGGGTGTTTAAACGCTTCTGTGAAGGCAAACTTCAGGCTTTGGCCATTTGGACTTCCTCTTTCTATTCTGTGGCAACTCCCCAAACACCTGGCCAGACAAAAGGGACAAGCTGGCCTGATCATACGTTGTTGCTCCACTCCAGAGTTCTACACTACATGGTTTTTGCTGAAATTTGTGTCAACGTTGACAGTTGAAGGCAGAGAGGAGGAAGGTTGACACTTTCTTCCATAACGTCTTGATGAGTGGTATCCAAGCAGACTGGGAAGGCAATTAGTCATTACTGTTTGGATGGCACTTTGCTTTGGTTTTGCAAGTTTTCCTTAAGAAAAAAGAAACTTGTTAATAAATCAAACCACAAAACATGTTAAATACCTGAGATAAACTTCAGTCATAAGTAAAATCTTAGACCATGTTCTACTTAATCTCAATACCTTAAAGCACATTGATACTTCCACACTATTTCCTCTATTAACATTTTGACCATACCACAAGATTTGACTGATCATTTATCAGAACTTATTGTTATTCCCTATGTCAAAGTCCTAACTCCTCAAAGGAGTACCACTGCTCCTTTTCCTAATCACAACCTAGCATCATGGATGAGAAGAAAATGGAAGCCCAGTGATCCACACCTTACCATACTTAAATCTGCCAAAGTTCAAATCCTTTCTTTAGAAATTACCTTTAAACACCATACCTCCCACAAATAAAAGCACTGTTTTCCTACCTCTTAAAATTTCAACATTAGTTTGTCATTTATTTTTATTTAAAACATCTGTAATCACAAAACACAAGTTATTTAACTCTTAGGTAACTTTTTTGAGGCATTCAGTAATGCAAAAAAAAAATCATAAATTACAAAACCAAATTAGCTATAATTATTAATGTATGAACAAATGACCAATTATCTATAATATCAAAGCACTACACCTATAAATCATAAGTAAATTTCCTGCAATTTCTCAAATGTTGTAATCATCTCCACACGGAGCCTAATACAGTGCAAACCGACAATCTGTTAAACGGAATTAGAACAAAATCTGGCACAGATTATATCCAAATGCTACAGAATTCGAATAGAAACTTACTTATTGTACAGTGTGAGGTGAGGAGAAATGGCAGGTACAGAGCTGGGGAGCAGCCAGGCTGAAGCTGACTCAGCTTCAGTGAACTCGACTGGACTCTCCATGCTTAGGGAAAGAGCAGAGTTGGTGGCTGTGCCGTCAGCAGAGCAAGGTATTTACTCAGGAGGTAATATTTAAAGAGACAAACTAACAACGAAAATATCTACCAATTACCCACCCCTACAGTAAACAGAAGTACCAGGACACACAAACCCCACCCTAACATTTCTAACTGAGGTATATACTTCTTGCGCCATTTATCTTTTGCTAATAAGGCTATGTGATGTGTTCAGAAACTAAAGCGCGCGCATGTGCACGCACACAGACACACAGACACACAGACACACACACACACACCTCCAGAAGAAAGGCAGTACCTACCCCAGCCTTTTTCCTTCTATCTGACGACCTGGAACAAGTAGTCACATGGCTATAAAAATTCAATCTGAATTGCATTTGCTACAATATTTATCTACCACAAGTTTTTGGTTTTTTTTTTTAATAATCTGATCAGTTTGGTATGGCAGTGCACAACTTTAACCCCAGCATCTAGGAGACAGAGACAGCGGCAGGAAGATCAGAGTTCAGAGACCCCTCTGGTCTACATGACAAGTTCCAGCCCAGCCAGGGCTACAGAGTAAGACCGAGTCTCAAAATTACTACAACTAGTACTAATGAGATCACTGTCCACTGCGGTATTGCAACTCCCTCCAATCACACTAATATTTAACATGGTTGTTTCAAAAATAAAACATTCAAGGACTCCACTGTAAATTTTTCTTCAACGTTTTTAACAGATGTTAAGAGCATTATCTTGAACAGTTTTCGCCTAAAAATGACTTGTTATATTACACATTTTATTCCATAATTCTGATAAGGAAACTGGTTTTCTGGTAATTAAACAAGATTTAGGACGATTTTGTTCTTGGACAACCTGAATGGCAGTGCGGTCACTCTAGCAAGCCAGTCATCCCGGGAACAGGCACTCGACGTACCGTCGCACTGGCCAGGCTTCGGGCTCGGGGGCTATCACTTCAGGTGGCAACATCCCAGTTAAGACAGAAGAACATTTCCCATGAAATGTTATGGCAAACATCACAGAGTACGCAGAAGATCCACAGGCCATAAAGCTGGTGTCTTAAGTAACTCACCCTTGAAACAGGGACAGGTTTTCAAGTGATACCCAGTAAGTTCTTGCTCTAAAAATAAATGTTCCTGCTTTCAGAGTTCCTATTCTTCAATAGGATGTAACTGAGCAGCTTAACTTTTGCAATAAAAACCAACCATTCTTCTTAACAAACCAACAATGTAAAAGGAAACCCGTAAGAGACAAACTTTTCACAGTTAACGATAAATAAAAGTGCACTAAGTGTTCAAGTAGGGCATGTAGTTTAAAGACTACACGTGTCTCTTTGGCTTAGGTCATCTTTTAAAGGCTCTCCTCGGATCCCTGGCATTACTTATTGTGGTCATGACTGTTTGACTACAACGAGCTCCTGGTAGCTGTGGATTGATGGGTTCCCGGACATTGCTTCTACCACTATATGGAAGATGATATCCCCTTGACTCAGGGCCAGTCTGAACACCATTTCCTAAGATAAGAATACAAAAAAAAAAAATCACCATTTTCAGAAGTAGTCTATATTATGCTACAGAAACAATCATTTAAAGCTCCTACACACACTGTAAAGGCTTATAAATATTATGGAAAACAAGCACCTTTATTCTATAATGAAAAAAGATGTGGGCTCTGGGGCTCTGCAACAGTATTATTACCAAATACATCACCTTGGTACTGAATGAATAGAAAGAAGAAAATCTAACTTGAGCAATAAAATTAGGAATAGAGTATTAAAAAAAAAACATTAATTGCCTATACTGTAAAAAAAGAGGGAGCAGAGAGATGTTTGAGTATTGGTGTTCGACTCAAATACAATTAATGTTTTGATGCAATCAAACTATTGGCATACAGATTTTCCACAATGTGAGTTGGTTATAAGTCTTCGGCTACCCTAACAACCACAGAAAGATGCATCTCAAAGACATATATATCCTCAGTTACTTAAAGACAAAAGACCTTTATTAGGTCTCCAAGGACCACTGGTGAGGTCTGAGAAGACAGGCCACTCTTTTAAAACACAACGAAGAACATGAGGAATGTTGAAACAGTCACCGACTGCTTCTCTACAGCATCATTTGTCTGGACAGGTTCCAATATGCCAAAACAGCCAGTGATTCTGCATATATTATAAATAACCACTACATCATACACATTTGCAAAAATAAAAAAATAAAAGATCTCGCCAGAGGGTTACCAAAATTAGTCTTCTTACTAATCAATGTTCAGCATAATGGGCCCCAGTGTTTAAATACAGAATGTGCTCAATACATTGGCCTGGACAAGTATCTCCAAGTTTTACAAAATCATTTATTTGAGTATCCTTGTCTACTGGAGTTCCCGTTTAACACTAAACTATACCTAAAGAGATTGTTTTCCTTTACATTTTTCATCATTCTCATAATGTTTACATGTCAGCACAAATAGGGAAAAAGTCTTACCCACTGGCCCATATGTACTGGCGCTCACTTTATCCTTCTCATTGTATACCTGAAAGAAGTTTTAAGTTAGACAAATGAAGACAGAAGTAACTCACGTATAAAATAATTTTTAAATTTTAAGGCTTTAAAAAATGATTTTCAACAATATTTAAAGATTTGTCTAAGTCTGTTCAATGTTAAAGCATTCAGAAATCTTCCCCAAGCCTTTTAATAGCTTTTATTACACCCTGATAGTACCTCTACTCTGCAAAATACTAAACAGCACATATATCTATTATCACAAAGTATATACAGACTCACAGAACCTATGTAATAAAGGTTACTTAAAGATTTTTTTTTCTTTTGAGACAGGGTCTCATATACCCCAAGTTGGCCTCACACTCGCTATGTAGCCAAGGATGGCTTTGAACTCCTTTCCTCCCACCTCCAACCTCCTGAGAAACAGGACTTCAGGCATGCACCACCACGCCAGTCTTAGGAAGCACTGGGGCTGAGCCCAGGACTTCATGCATGCTAGGCAAGCAGTCTATCAGTTGTACTATATCCCCAGTCCTCAACATCATCTTACAGTTCTTTTCATTAAACTTTGGACATCAGAGGTTTGGCCTACTGACAGAATTACAGTAAAGAGTCAACTTAACCCAATCATAAAAATATACTATGTATCTGGATTAATTACCCCTTTGTTCTGCTGCCCTCTATAATCTGGGTTTGGCTCACTGAAATTTGGCACTTCTGAATACACCATACAAAATCTGAAAGTAAAGGACAAGTTAAATGATTTTTTTGTATAACCTCCTTAACCTACAAGAATGAAAACCTTAGGTGTCAAAGAATTACCTTAACAGTAGCATGCTAATTCAATTCATTTGTAATAAAAATTTCCTAAATAACTACATCCCATATTAACACCCAACTATTTGATTCTCATCAAATCCCTCTTTTGATCACTATGAATCTGCAAAGATAATCAAAGGTAAAGAATAAATTCTAGATGATTAAGACAGATAATTGGCTAGCAAGCCACCACTTCCTCCCAGGGCTTCTTGTAATTGACAACACACTTGGTACCCTGTTCACACATAAGCATTTTCTTAGCTCTTCAACTCTAAAAAGAAACTAGATCCAGTTTGGGGAAATCTTAAACTGACCCTGACAAGGAATAGCCATGAGTAAAATGAGAACTTCCTGTGGCTCCTCACCTAGCTGACCTCCATTACTGTAGCATCTCTGTATACAAGACCATCTATCCAGCCAGACCCTGTAATCCTGACCCAAAGACGTTTCCTAACACTGACTCTAAAGGGCCCCACTGGGGCTGCTCAACGCAGCTCTGAGTACTGACAGTGTTTAAACCAGTTACCTACCTACAGCATGAAACCAAGTTTCCAAAGGCCAAGTAAGCAGTTTATAACTTATACTTACTGTTTATTCTGCAGACATATTTGAAACTTAATCATACAAAATATATCTTAATACTTACTCCCCAATTTTTTGAAGTTCACCACCTCTTCCAGTATAAAGTGTCAGGCATCCTTTCCACATTGACGCATACCTAGAAGGAAAATAAATCAGGTTTTACAGAAGAATGTATAGCTCTATTAGATTTTCAGTTTATTTCTGTATTAGACAGAACTGCAAACCAACCCATTTACCCACCATGTCAAGTCAAATATAGTCCATGTAACTCTAATAAGAAATTACACGCCGGGCGGTGGTGGCGCACGCCTTTAATCCCAGCACTCGGGAGGCAGAGGCAGGCGGATCTCTGTGAGTTCAAGGCCATCCTGGTCTACAGAGTGAGTTCCAGGACAGGCCCCAAAGCTACACAGAGAAACCCTGTCTCGAAAAACCAAAAAAAAAAAAGAAATTACACAAAGAAAATTCTACCACCACATTATGACATAATCATCTAAATCATAACCCTAGGAAAAAAAACTTTGAGCACTGCTGGAGACTAAACCCAGGCCTTCCTTGCACTAGGCAAGCACTCAGCCACTATGTTACTGGATCTTGTTTCTAAGCCTTGTATTTAGGCATCTCCAGAAGTTGCCCAGGCTGGTCTTGAACTTGCTCAGTAGCCAACTAGCCCTCAACCTTGCCATCTTCCTGTCTCAGCCTCAGGAGGAACTGGGACGTCAGGCATGGGCTCCTATGCCTAACTTGAGAAAAACTTGACCAGACACGGTGACACTCATTTGGAGTCCCAGCACTGAGAAGGCTGAGACAGGAAAAACTCAAATTAGAGGCCAGCCTCAAAGAGGAGACTGGAGGGGAGAGGAGTGGTGTTCTGGGAAAGCATGCACTGTTGTTCCTAAATGTATCAGTAGTTAACAAAGCGGGAGCTGCTTTTCTGTCAGTGAAGAACTGGTTTCATTGGTTAAAGCTCTCCAAACTATTTTTTAGAAAAAATGTTATACCTTCTCAGTGAACTGTTGGCCGACAATTAAAATTATTTTAAAACACAGACACCTAATTTCAACAGCAGGAACATCTGTAAAATTCTCTACATTGCACACTTAGAGGAAAGCACAGGATGTTTGTGCTCTAAAGACCGACCGGTGTGCAGCTTAGTTAAGGAGGCCAGGAGGGAGGGAAACACCCAGGGAAAGAGAAGAGTTCAAGTGCATTCTAAGGAGGAGCTTCTGATACCAGAAATTCAGCATCTGTACTGACGTCCAGCCACAGGGATGAGAATTTAACACACTAGTATTTTCTTCCACACTCACTGACATGGTCATGGAAGAGAGAAGTTTTACTACTACTTCTGCAGACAGTTTCCAAGCTCCTCAAAATTTAGCACTTTATCAAGGAGCAAAAAATAAAAAGGAAAAAAAAAGGATCACTAATCTTCCTCTTGCCTTTCCAGCCTTCCCAAATTTTGCAACTTTTCGTATCAACATAATGGAACCAATTGTTTACTCTGAACAATTTTAAATGTGTATGACATCATTAAATCTAAGGAAAATACAAATTAGTCAGCTTAGTAAAATCAGACCAAAGTCTAGTTTTTCAATGTTTCTTTGTACAACTACCAATAATACGTATTGGCTTATAATACGTACTATTATTATTATTATTATTGCTAAAATCCTCACCATAGCCTCCAAAGGAGGAATTCTCTTTTGCAGAAGATGTAATTTAGTGTTGCAATATGACTCAGTGTTTGAGAATAAGATGTCTAACTCCTGACTCTTACTTCCTGCTTTGATGATACTTTACCTCACTTCCTGAAAATGTTGTAAGGCCTCAAAGAACTCCTGTCCAGAGGACTAAATACTTCACTTCTCCGAGTCTTAGCCAACATCAATTGCCAACTATTTTTCTGGTACTTACCAATAAAATTATTACAATTCTCCTAATCACATAAGCTTCCACATTTCTAAGATCCTTCCCTGGCCTTTTCTTAAGACTAACATTTGGTAAAAATTTCAAAAGTTGATGAAAAACAATGCTCCATCTCTATGGCCAACAGTTTGCCAACTAAAGATGTTCTCCATGTATCAGATGCCCTTTCTGCCTATCAGATGCCCTTTCTGCCACTTTCTGTGGATTTGGGAGTTTGGGAAACATTGATCTTACAGAAGAAATCATTTTCAAGAATGAATGTGTATCCGAGACACTTTTTTTATCTTTTCTGAGTACAAACGTGACCACCGAAAAATGTTAAATTCAAGCTGGGCCTCAGAGGGCTGAATGCTTGCCTGGCATGTGGGAGGCCTCTGGCTCATCCTCAGGACATTTAGGTACATGCCTGTAATCTCACTACCTGGGAAGTGGAGGCAGGAAGGTCAGAGGTTCAAGCTTATTCTCCCAGGCATCTTAAAAGTTCAAAAACAACCTGGAATACAGGAGACACTTTCCAAAACGAAGGTGAAGGAAAGGGCAAAACTCCCCAGCTGCTCAGTTTATGTCCACACCACCTAAATGATGAGTGCAAACAGCGTTGGCAGGGTCTCAAGGCACTAAAAAAGGAAGTGGAAGTCATTATATCGAATGCACGGGCTGATTATAAAGGTACTGCGGTCCTATCAGCCTACTAAAAAGGCTCACTGACTCCCATGCATTATTTTAAAAAATATAACTAACCTTTAAAACTGGAGGGGAGCAGTGAACTCCCTACCTGAAACACTCTTAGCTGCAAAGGGTGAGCTGCCGCCAATTCGGCCCACCCCAACAGCTCAGAGCTTCTTGAAGCTGTCCACCGAAGAGCCAGGCGACTCAAAACTTGGCAGGACCCCCTAAAGTCGGCGAACCCCACACCTACCCCCAATCTATGCACACCTACCCTCTGGTCAACCGAATAATATCCCCTGTCTGTATGAGCCCTCCAATCTCATCCCACACAGAAATAGTGATGCTTCCCGTTTTATCAGCTACTTTGCAGGACCTCACTTCATGGCCGTCTTTGGTTTTGGTCACGCGTCCTGTGAAGATTTAAAAAATCCAAAGAAGGGAGGGAGGGAGGGAGAGGATATGTTAGATAACGAGTCCGCTCAGGGCAGCTGTCTCACCCTCCTGGGGCACGCTACATGCCTGGCTTCTGTCCCGGGCTAGGAGCCGAGTCCGGGCTAGGTTGGCCGGGAGCACGTGGGGGCGCGGGGCGGGGAAGAGGTCCGAGCGCTCGAGGGTGTGGGGCGGGCGGCGGACCCCACTTACCTATCTCCAGGACAATAAAGACGACATTTAAGTTTTTCAGTCCGGCCTTAATGTCTTTTATGAAAAGAGGAGGGTCGTTGACCCCAAGCATACTGAGGCAGGTGCTGGCTACGCTGCTGCTGCGGAGACCCGCTGGGCAAAGCTTCCCACCCTCCGGGGCCAGGGGCAGAGCCTGGGGGGAGGTGGGCAACCTGGGGCGGGGCTGGCGACCGGGGTCAGGAAGCGGTTATTTCAGGGGCCGGGGAGACCAGCCCTGGAAGGCACCAAGCCAAAAGAAAGAAAGAAAAAAAAAATTGGAGGAGAGGAGGAGGGGGGAAAAAAAAAAGACGCTCACAAGTTCCAAAATCAAAAAGACGACGCGCTCGGCACACCGTGTGGGCGGCGAGCCAACGAGGGTGCGTGCGGACCGCCGCCTGCGCGGCTAAGGGTCTAAGAGCAGCGGGGACGGCCCGGCCCGACCGGCTCTCGCTGTCCCTCGCACGCACGCACGGACGCACGCACGCACGCACTCGCGCGCGAGACCCCTCCGTCCCAGGCTCCGGGAAAGGGACCGTGACTGCAAAACGACGGCCGCGGAGCAGCACAGCGACCGCACAGCCCGCGTCCCCCAGCGGCGACTCCCGACTGCGGCCCCGAGCAGGGGCTACTAAACCTCGTCCCGCCCCTTATGGCGTCACGCGACGTCGCCACGCCCACGAGGCCCGCCCCTCGGGGCGGAACGGAGCGCCGCGGCCCGACGCGGCCTCTCTAGCTCCGCCCCCACCCGCGCAAACCCCGCCCCCCGGGCTTCCAACCCGCGTTCGGCCACACCTTCCCCTCTGGCCCCACCCCCTCCTGCGCAAGGCCCCGCCCCCCGGCCGTCCAACCCGAGCTCGGCCACACCCTCCTCTCCCCAGGTCTTCCGGGTTTCTATCGAGCTCGGTCTTTGGCCGCTGGTTGCGAGCTCGGGCAACCTCTCCCGGTCTCTCGGGCCTTCAGTCCGCCCAACCTTGCCCTTTAGCACCGCGATCACGTGGAACGCTGGTGTTCCGGACCCCGTGGGTAGAGCAAACGTGCAGTTGAGAAGGAACAGGGCTCTGGGGAGGGCGGTGGAGCGGGATCGAGGAGGGGAGAGAGGCTGGCTGCCATGCCGGAGCTTCCCATCCCAAGGGAACTTGCCGACCAACCTTCCTACTTTAGGCGGGTTTAAAATTGGGATCCAGAAAGACGAGGTCGTCTCTTTAAAGATCTTCAAGCTACTTGTAAACCTCTTTTGTTGCTAAAAATAACCCTACGTAGTTAAGTTCCACAGAGGTTTCATTTTCCTTTAGCCCTTTTCTAATTTGTATTTGACTTTTATAAATAACTAAAATGAACTAATCATGCAATTGCGACGGGAAACCTGAAAACGTAACCTGAAAGGGACGGCTGTGAGCTTTACACACAAGCCAACTGGCGTTGGTAGCTAATTGTGTAAACTTTAAAATCAATAGTTAAGCTTCCATCGTGGTGTCTTGACAGCCACTTCAATTGGACTCTCCTGAAAGGTGTTTGTTTTTGTAATGCAGGTAAAAAACATTCTCATAAAAGCAATACAGTACTTTTAAGTTGGATCTTGTTTGAAAGGTTTGATGATGAGCTTTTTGAAAGTTTAAAAATTGGTATCAAGCCACGTTCAAAAAAATAGAGCAGCGGGAAAGTGAAGCACATCTTTTTTCTTCTAATCGTTTAACTTTATTTTATGTACATTGATGTGAAGGTGTCAGATCCCCTGGAACTGGAGTTACAGTCTACCATGTGGGTGCTGGGAATTGAACCTAGGTCCTCTGGAAGAGCAGCCAGTGCTCTTAACTGCTGAATCATCTCTTCAGCCCCCTAATTCTTCTATTTTATTTATCTGTTTATTTATTGTTTTTTTGAGACAGTTTCTCTGTGTAACAGCCCTGGCTGTCCTAGAACTCACTCTGTAGACCAAGCTGGCCTTGAACACTCAGAAATCTACCTGCCTCTGCCTCCCGTTTGCTGGGATTAAAGGTATGTGCCACCACTTCCAGGAAGCACATCTTTAATCCCAGCATTCAGAGGCATTCTCCAAGGTCTAGCTAGGTCCATCTGGTCTACAGCAGGAGTTCCAGGACAGCTAGGGCTATACAGAAACCCTGTCTCGCAAAACCATTAATAATAATAATAAAACTGGGGGCGGGGGGAGGCAGGAGTAGCCGTTCCCTGAATTCTCAACCATTTGTCCTCATAAAGAGAATTAAGGAGAACTGCTCATACACGTAAAGAGGACCTGCACACTTAAGCCAGGCCCAGCATGGGTCTGGGCAAGATGGGGTCCCAGCGCCGGTGGATAGAGGAAGTGGATACAAGCCCCCATCCCAAACCCAGAAGCTACCTCCAATTGATAACTGCTCACAAGTGAAAAGTTAGTTTTCTCCACCATCTGACTGGTGATACAAACCACTGTTGAGGCCAGGCCCTATGCCTAGCAGTAGGTGACCAACACAAAACCAGCTCAGTGGCACTTTTGGAGATTCTTTGTCAGGCATTTTCTTGTTTTAACCTTGCAAGTCGTTTTCATATATATTATGGTTTCTCGCTTTGTGGGTTTGTGGGATTCCTGTGTGCAAACGTGTGTCACTGTGGCCGTGTGTGTTTCTTGTGCTTTTTCTTTGGCTCTTTTTCTTTGTTTTTTGCTTGTTTGTGTTTTTGGGTTTTGGGGGGGTTTTTTTTGTTTGTTTGTTTTGGGTTTTTTTTGGTTGGTTTTTTTTTTTTTGGTTTTTTTTTTGGGGGGGGGGGTTAGGTTTGGTTTGGTTTTTTGAGACAGGGTTTCTCTGTAGTTTTGTTACCTGTCCTGGATCTCACTCTGTAGACCAGGCTGGCCTCGAACACAGAGATCTGCCTGGCTCTGCCTTCTGAGTGCTGAGATTAAAGGCACGCGCCACCACCGCCCACCTCTTTGGCTCTTTTTCTTACCTTACGTTTGTTTGTTTGTTTGTTTTTATCCTATTGTGATTTGTTTGTTTCATCTTATTACTGCTTTCTAGATGCCTGTTTGTTTTCTAACTAGAGAAAGAAAGGAAGTGGATTTGGATGGGAGAGGAGGTGGGGAGGATCTAGGAAGGGGTTGGTGAAGAAGTGAAACCATGATCAGAATATGTGGTATGAAAAAAAAAGCTATATTCAATAAAAGAACACACACACACCAAAGAAAGAAAGAAAGCAGGCCCTGTAAAAAGCAGAAGCTAGGCCGGGCGGTGGTGGCGTACGCCTTTAATCCCAGCATTGGGAGGCAGAGCCAGGCGGATCTCTGTGAGTTCGAGGCCAGCCGGGGCTACAGAGTGAGTTCTAGGATAGGCTCCAAAGCTACACAGAGAAACCCTGTCTCGAAAAACCAAAAAAGAGAGAGAGAGAGAAAAGAAAAAACAAGCAGAAGCTAGTGCAGAGGGCCGGCCCCGCCCTTCCCCACCCGACCTCCCCCAGGACAGACTCAGCTGATCCTCTCTCACTTCCTCCCCCAGCACAGAGTTCCCACCCTAAAGATTGCAGCCGCTGCTCTCTCACTAACCCAAAGGCCACATTGAGAAACTGCAGTGAGGAACACACAGTTCCGTGGAGGGCCAGGGCGATAGGTTCCCGCTACTCCCGAGTCGGCGGTTGACAGGAAAGAAAACGAAGCCGGGTGTGACCCTGCAAGCCCTTCATGCCAGCTCCAGAGGCAAAGGCAAGCCAGTCACGAGCCTGTCTGCATAGTGAGTTCTGGCCCAGGCCAGGCCACACAAACCACCTCAAGAAAGAAAAAAGAAAAAGGAAGCAAAGAAGGACGAGGATATCAAGAACTCTTTCTGGGGCTGGAGAGGGGTTCAGTGGTTAAGAGCGGTGGCTGCTCGCCCAGAGGAAGTCCGGAGCTTAATTCCCAGCGTACACGGGTAGCTAGCAATTGCAGGCAATACATGCACGTGGTGCACAAACGTGCATGCTGACAAAACGCCAGCACACATAAACATAAATGAAAAAAAACCTGCTCTCCTAGACTCCCTGTCTAACCATTACCTGGAGAACATGTAGCAGACATTGAGCATCTGCTCTCTATCTGGCATGTAGACGGACAAGCCCTTTATACTCAGTAGTTCTCTCAATGATATGTTTTTCCTGACACCCAGTTATAGAGCTGGGACTTAAACCTTATGCTTGTAAAAATTTTCTTACAAAACAAACATCTAAAATGCGTATTTTTTTTATCTAAATGGATAATTGGCCTTTTTTTTTTTTTTTTTTTTGAAGGCTTTTTAATTCAGAATAATCCCCAATGCCTGATTGGGGGTTGTATGGCCGTGAAATCTGTAGCGGATAATAAATTTTTAGTTTCTCTTGGGAAGAAACACATCCTTAAGTAGATTAATCCAAATCATTTATATTATCATTCAATGATGGGATTGGCAGCTTTGGCTTCTATGTTCCAAAAAGCTTGTTTCCAGTATATCCTACCTCTCAATAGTTCCCTAAATTTACTACTTATGAAAAATCAAAAACACTACATCAACCAGAACTAACGGGAGACAACATGCTTATTGGTTGAGGTACCTATCGTGATTTTCACAGAAAGTAGAAAGGGGGTGGGGCCTTCCATGGGGTCAGTCTTACAGCACTGTGAGAACGCTTAATCTGGGATGCACAAAGCGTTGCTACTGTCCACTCCTTTCCTAGTGTCCTGTCTAAACTTGAAGGGATGTGTGAACAAATGCATAAAATACTGCAAAACTCAGTGTGGCAGGTCTCAGAGCCCTTAACAAGCCTCACAGAAAGTATCAGAGCCCCCAACCTCACTCCAGACACAGGCTGAAGTGGGTCTTAGGACTGTTTAGAATTCCCATTTACAAACTGCTTTATTGGCAAAGGCCTGTAATCTCCAGCACTTGGGAAGCTGAGACAGGAGGGTCACAAGTTCAAGGATGACCTGAGCTATATATCCAGACTCTTTCCCAAAGGAAAAACAAGGCCACAGATTTCTGATTTACCGTGGTAATTTCTCTACAATAAAAAACGGATGCCCAGCTCTTATTTTGGAGGCTTGTCGAGCTCACACACGCGTGTAGACACCTTCAAATCACCATGAAGAAGAGTCAATGCTCTGTATTAGGGTTCTCTAGAGAAACAGAACTGATATATTAAAGGAGAGTTTATTAGAGTGACTGATAGGCTGTGGTCCAGCTAGTTCAACAATGGCTATCTCCTGACAGAAAGACCAAGAGTCCAATAGTTGTTAGTCCATGAGACTGTGTATCTTCAGGTGGCCTTCAGTCCCAAGGAAGTAGGGATTCCAACATAAAACCTTTTGTTTTGTG